GCCGTTTAATCTTAATCCCCATTCTGTTTGATGTTAAAAGTAATGGCGAATGGCGCGTTAAGGGGATAAATCACGTAGTACTATTAGGTAGGTGTATCCATTTTTGATTAGTATTTATTACCTTGTTTTAGAAATAGGGTTTATTTCGGAACAAGCAATAATTGACAATCTGTTTATTATTTAGGTATCAGTTAACTGTTAGCATTATCGACTTAACACAATGATCTGTGACCATTTTAGGGTGTTAAAGATAATTTTGAAAATAATCATTTTATCATTTATGGAGAACAGGACAGTATTCTGTGGCAGAAGTAGGATAGTTGCTGTTTTGCACTCCTTGGTCCTCTACGTTTTTACCGAATCCCTTTATTATATCCATAACCGATACACATTCCGAGGATACTACTCAATTATCAAACTGAAATCATCACGAAAAGCCAAAGCAAAATTCTTGTATTAAAAACCGAAAATTTATTTTTATATTATTTTAAAAAATTACATAAATCTGTTTCAGAATTTACACGAGTGGGCAAACTGTGCTCCCACGGTGTCTGCAAGCAAAACAAAGAATAAATAGTCCTAGCCGAGTACACAGCCCATGTGTTACAAGTTTTAACATAAACTCCGCCGCGCAAATATGGGCCGGCTCTTTGTTTGTTGCTCTGGGTAATTATTCACGAAGTGCCTATGTTGAGCCTATTCTGGGCATATTGTGCCAAAATGGGTAGTTTAGTATTTTGTAAAATAGCTGTGTCACATTTTTTTACGCATGGATGTTTTTTTTCAACCGACTTCAAAAAAGGAGGAGGTTCTCAATTCGACCCGTATGTTTTTTTTTTTTTTTTTTTTTCTATGTTTGTTACGCGATAACTCCGTCAATTATGAACCGATTTGAACAAATCTTTTTTCGGCGTATAGGTAATACTTCAAGGGTGGTCCCATTTAAATTTAATAATAAAAAAAACAACCCCCAAGGGTGGAAAATTGGGAATGAACTTTTTTATACGCAATATCTCCGCCGATTATAAACCAATTTGAACGATTATTTTTTTGTTGAATAGGTATTATCAAAAGGGTGGTTTCATGCGAATTTGAAGAAAATATTTCACCCCCAAGGGTGGAAAATTGGGGTTGAACTTTTTTATACACAATATCTCCGCCGATTATGAACCAATTTTTTTTGGTCTCAGTGTACTGCCTACCTTCAGTGGTAACATCAAGGTAATAATTGGTTAACTAAAAAGCAAGAAATAAGTAAAATTTTATAAAAAAATAAAACCGACTCCAAAAAACCTACACTAAAACGTAGAAAAATAATTACTAATTACCTACTTATTTATTAGGACGAATTATTAATATTTATGTAGGTATACCATGATTGATACTTTTGGAGTCGGTGCATGCAAACTTTACATGTTTCATAATCTTGGCACCGACTCCAGAAGTATCAATCATGGTATACCTACATAAATATTAATAATTCGTCCTAATAAATAAGTAGGTAATTAGTAATTATTTTTCTACGTTTTAGTGTAGGTTTTTTGGAGTCGGTTTTATTTTTTTATAAAATTTTTTTCAGGGTAGCCTAGTCTCAGAATTCAAGATTTTACTCATTTTTCAATCAAATCATAATTATTCCAGCTTATAGCAGTCCACTGCTGCTGGACATATTAAGACTCCAAGGATAGTTACAAGGCACGATCTCCTGCTTTTTTCATTCAGCAGCTGCCAAGAATTTTCTTGAGGTTAGGTACTGTTCCATGGAGCAAGAGGGCTACATCTCAAAAACTGTCGTAACTAAACTCACTTTGTACTTTTCTAGTTCATTAACAAACAAAAAATGATCTTCTTCTTCTTCTTCACCTGAAGACACAATACTAAAATTATTTCTTTTAAACAAAAATATTGGAATCGCTATCTTTATACCAATACATGGGCGGATAAGTATGTATTATTTATTACATTAGAATGCTAAAACTATTCTTGTAAAATTATTTATTATCAAGTATTATTATGCAATACTTCAATAGAAATGCGAAGCCGGGCCGAGCCGTGATATATTAAAGTTTCTAAAAAGATTTCTTTGTACTACATATTATTATTTCAAATGTTTTGCCCATATTCTTCAATATTGAATAACATGATGTTCACCAATCCAGAGTTTCCATCGTCTGAAAATAGAGTGGTGTTTAAAATATGATACTAAGTAGGTACCAACGTAACAAATTTTACTACTTGAGTGGGCAGTATGTACCTACGCAACACTACGCTACTGAAATTTGATGCCATTGGAACTCTAGATTTATCGAACTATAGTGTTTTATAGCTTTAATGCTTTGAACTGTTTATGGCATTTCTACATTTTCTACCCAATCTAAATTTTGTTATCTTGTGGTTTGTGTAATTTTATTGCAAAAAATCGCATCGATAATTTGATTGATTCATTTCGGTTAATTCCAAATTATTGTATTGTTCCAATTAAACTAGATTCCTAAAATCTTCTTTTATCGATTAGTCGGTTTGAATTCGTAAAGCGACAGTAATTTATTAGCGCTTTTCCGGCGGAATTTAAGTCCATTAAATCTGTCTAATGCCCCACTTCGTTTGATGTCCTCTTTACACAATCAATAATGTAGTTTCAGACATATAGGTACGTAATGTAGAACCAAGATCATCTCTTAATTCTTGCTAAAAGCATAATAAAACTCATAAAACTCATTTATTTCTGTAAATAGGCTTTAAAAAAGCACTTTTACACGTCCCAGTATTAACCCTACCACTGCTTCAGGACAATAAATGGGCCAGTGCTGAAGAAGCAGCGCAAGAAACTCAGACACTAAGTCTATTGTCAGCCTCTTTTCCAAAGGTTTACAGGCTTTAAAAATACATAGTTATAAATATTTATGCGAGCTAGGCAGTTACGGTACAATATGTACATACAGTCATGCAGACATGAATTATTCTCAAAAATCTTTTTACATTTTTTTAAATAAATTCAAGTACATAATATTTATCTACTAAAGCACATAGCTGAATGAAGTAATACGCTTAACACCATGACTTCACAGCATCTAAACGATTTTACAGCCGCGACGAAATCCTGCACACTCCTGCACATAATAGGAAATCGCGATTCCTATACATTTCTGAAAATGTATTCGCAAAGCGCTTCGCATTCATGTATGTGAGATGCAGGCACGTGTACGTTACTTTTCTATTGGGATTTACAACGAGGACAAGCGCAATTTTCCTTTGTAGGATATAATACATGTAAGCCCTGAAGAATGTAAGTAAGCAGTTTTATACGCAATTTTTATATTAATGTTAATAAACCAACAACTGTTGAATTACATGAACAGCTTACTATTACTAGTTTACTATTATAGTATTTACCGTTAAAGGGACTACTATCATACTATACGATACATAAATTGTTAAAGAACGTTGTACTAAAATACTTAGCGGTTCAGTAACCAAGTACTAAGTAAATAATACAAAATTAGTAATAATTTTAGGGCTATTGTTCAACCCCTGAAATATTAAAATTCAACCCTAGACTGAAACCAAACTAAAGAGCCAGCACCAACTTGAATCCATGCTAAAGATCGAGCGTAGCATTAGAATACGTCTCATCTTGTTAGATTTCAATACGTTCGTTCGTTTCAGCCAAATGACGTCCACTGCTGGACAAAAGCCTCCCCCAAGGATTTCCATACATTTCAAGATTTCAATAAGTACCTACATCTAGAGATAATGTCTCTGTATAACACTCCTGCAGATAATTCCTTTGGCCTTTGCTGAAGTTCGTAGGCGAGTTGCCACCGGAACTTGTTTCAGCCGCTTCAGAGCGCCGACAGTTCCGAAGGTGCCGGTTTCAGATGCATTCGTAATTCACTTCCTCCGGCTACGTTTCAACGTATTGCGAATGTATTGGAGTTGAGTGGAACTTAATTGAACAGTCAGGGTTTCACACTACACTCTACATATATGTAGGTACATTTTAGTTACATAATTGTACCAATTGAAAGTATAATATAGTGTGCATGATGTTTAACTTGAAAACCCTCCTCTAGGAAAGCGACTTCGTTTTATAATATGTAGTGATGTTCTGAATTGACGTCCCTAAAAGCTTAGGCGAATAAAAAACGAGCATTTAGCATAACACCATTATTAGATCAAAATAACATTATAATAAATCGATGATTCATATAACAAAGAAGCATTAGTGTAATGGTTAGTTGTTTAAGAATAAAACTGCCAAGAAAAAATAAGCTTGTTAATTAATTGTCAACAGAAGAGTATACCTACGTAGCTTATACAAGACAACTAGGTAAGTATATTTACAAGGAAACATTTTCCATTATCTCCGTATTCCCAGAAGTTTTTCCAGTAGAATTTCCCTGTCGAGCCTCATTTAGGGAGCGATTAGACAACTAATTAAGTTATATAAATATGACATGCCTTAAAAACATTAAGTAAAGGACCTCGTTAACCTCCAGTGTTTCTGAGAAATGAAGTTTCGTCGTAATCAACTTTCCCGGTATTTTCCGATCTTGGAAATATTTCAAATAGGGACACTGTTATCAAATATGAAAAAACGGACCCTGTTCTTAGTAAAACATTCCATATAATGTTTTTAAAATGTAGAGGTACCTATTAAAAAATAAAATAAAAATAATTACTACCAGAGAACCTCGAATAAGCTTTTAGGAGTTGATAAATATACCTAGAATCGGTTTTTTTTAGCATAGTTCTGTGATACTATCGAATATTTGATATCGAAGAAATAGCCAGTTATTATACTTCATGCTTCGTTCTCGAGATTAGCATATTAAACACTTGTAGTAACGTGTAGCACTCACCATTCCACAACACTATTTGAGAATTTTTATTTCACACTTTTTTTTTTTTTTTTTATTATTAATGTACATTTACATTAAATGCCTGAAATATTAGTACTGCGGGCAGTACAGTGGGACTGTCTCTTTACTTTTAACAGGTTATTTTCTTACAAGTACATAATATTATGAAATATCAGTTTGCGGACAGTACTTGCTATGCCCTGGGACTGTCTCTTACTGCGAAATAGTAATTGTTAAATATATTAATTGTGGTTTGCGGACAGTACATGTTATAAATAACTAGGGACTGTCTCTTGCCGTGAATTCTACCTACTTAGCTTTACGTGCTCTGCGGACAGTACGTGTTACTTTAACTGGGGACTGTCTCTCAGCACAGTGGCTTAGAAGTGGTATGTCTTTTCAGACTACGACTACATCGGGTTGACTGATGATGAGGATGCGTATGTAGATCTACCCGCGCCACAGTCGGAAACCGATGGAAGGCCACCAGAATCTGGTGATGAGAACAAAACTGAAATGACTTCGTCAATACCCTCTGCCGTAACAGTTCCATCGAATAATGTCGTTCCATCGACTTCGACGACTACGGAACCTTCCACGTCAGCCGAACCAGTGGCAGTTGCAGTCGAAGACTCCTCCAACTTAGACAACGATCTATTGGACATACTGGGGATTGATCCCACCACTGATAAGAAATACGGTAAAGATTTACACAAAGATCTTTCCGTTAGATTACAACATTGGACCACTGTTGGTCTTGACAAGGACCTTAAAAAGGAGTTAAAAGATAGATATTTAACGCCCGGAAATTGCAAATTGATTGATCCACCAATTTTGAATGCAGAAATGAAAGCTGCTATTTCTGACATCAATGTTAAACGTGATAAGGCTATTGAAGCTAAACAGAAGGTACTTACCTCTGCTATAGTCTGTCTAGGAGAAGCTATTACGCTTCTTTTACCATCTAAAGACAAGGATACCAATCTTATAAAGTTGCTGATGGACGCAATTCGAATAATTTGTGAATGCCAACATAGTGACAGTGCCACGCGAAGAAATTTT